TTTGCTCCCGGTGCCTCTGGTCTGCTGGGGACCATCTCCAGCAGACCAGGGACACCGGGAGCAAAGGAGGCGGAGGGGCGCTGGGGTATAAGATGAAACCCTATCTTTTAATTAAAAAGATAGGGGGTCGTCTTATACACCCAGTCGCCCTATACGCCGGAAAATACGGTAAGCAGTGGACCAGCTGGAGCCTACATCCTTTTGCTCCCGGTGCCTCTGGTCTGCTGGGGACCATCTCCAGCAGACCAGGGACACCGGGAGCAAAGGAGGCGGAGGGGCGCTGGGGTATAAGATGAAACCCTATCTTTTAATTAAAAAGATAGGGGGTCGTCTTATACACCCAGTCGCCCTATACGCCGGAAAATACGGTAAGCAGTGGACCAGCTGGAGCCTACATCCTGAAACCCTATCCCAGTCATGAACCCCCTCCTGCACCACAGGCTCCTGCCCCAGCCCCGAGCACCCCTGCATCCAAACACCCTCCCACAGCTTGCACCTGCCTTCCCCAGGCTCAACTCACTCCCACACACTCCAAATTCCTTAATCCAAGACCAGAGCCTGTACCCCAATCCTGTGCCCCAGCCTGGTGAAAGGGAGGGAGGATTGAGTGAGCAGGGGCGGGGCCTCAGAGGAGTGGGAAAGAGGTGGGGCAAGGGTATTTTATATTTGAGATAGATCTCGGATTGCATTTAAATTGCACAACATTATCTTGTGCTTAAAAAGGTTGGAGACCACTGCATTAGAATAATTGCTTGTTGTGACTAATGCATAGCAGCCGTGTACATTTTTCTTGCTCTTTTAAAGCAGTGGAGGGAGTGTTAAGATTTTGAAGTGGAGAATAAAGTATTGATTTCCATTATAGTAAAGAGCATATGAGTAGATAATATGCTTGATGGTAAATATTCATGACTTTTTCTAAGATTGAGATTGTGTTAGTCATATGATTATGTAATTATGTGCTGGATGCCTGGCAGAATCAGGGTTAGAGGAATATGCAATGCATCAGTCATTTAAGGCATACTTTTGTCTTTCAAGTTCATGACATCCAAATCAATCATGGATTACTAGCTCCAATTCATTATGACACGTTAGCATGCTTTTTACTCTCCTTCAATCACAGTAGTGCCTATGCGTGAGGTTAAGGTAAGTGTTGTATTTTAAATATTATATATTTTTACAATATTAAAATATACTCTCTCACATGATAAATAACAGTAATTAAAGTCTTTCAAACATAGCTAGTCTTTCAAACAGAGTTGGCCATGATTGTAAAAATAAAGAAATGAAAAATAATTACAGAATAAAACGGGGACTTATTTTACCATTCCATGCAGTCTTCAGTGTGGTTCACATCACCAGCAGAGCACATGTTAAGACAGGAGGCAGTAATCTGTTACTAGCATAGATGTCATAGAACTGAGACTATGATCTTTGCTGAGCATTCACTACATAATTAAGATTTTATTTCCTTTATCTACATTTATTATGAATTTTAATCTTAAAACATTGATTTGAATTACTGCCTATGGTGGGGTAAATGGAGTAAACATTAATGCTGATAAGACCTATGGTGTTACATGAAGTGTGTATCAATGTTATTTCAGTGAGGAGGACATGTACCGTGATGCAGAAGAAATAGAGAGAGAAAAAGTATTACCTGTTTGTGAGACAGGCTCCTCAGGTACATGTATATGGCATTACGCGCACACACACACATACACACGTAGTAGAATATCTTATTATAATATTAACGTATCTAGTTTTGTTGCCCTCATTTGCACAGTTTTTGTGCTCAACTTTATCTGTGTAAATATGATGGAGGCTACTGCTTACATTTGAATGCAATGCACATTTTCATCCAGTGAAAACTATTTAATATAAAATAATGTGGGCTATAATCAGATTATTCAAATCTACCTGTTCTGCATCTCTTTCGCGCTCAAAAAATGTCCTTACATCCAATTGAAAGTGTTGATGATGGTTGACATTTGTGTGTTGTGCTGGTATGTGTGTAACAGGGCTTGACAAATTTATCAAATGCTACTAGCTAATAGGCAACATGAAAGTTCCCACCACTGGAAGTTACAGACACTGTTACTCATTGCTAGAGCATCAGTGCCATCATCTATTTGGAATGAAAGTTTGTGGAATGTCCAGGAAGAGTTGTGTTCCTCAGTTCTCCTTGGGGAAACAAACTTCTCCTACCATTCTTGGCTAGTAAGTGTTTGATAAATGTGGGGTACTTGCATCTCTGGCTCTTGTCTTTTAGAGGGTAGGGAGGCAAGCTCTCCCCTCATTCTCTGGCTGCTGAGAGATGTTTATGTGTCTCCTATTTCCTTCTCATACCGTTTTTGTGTGGGGAGGAGGAAGAGGGAGATTCTGGGGTATATTCCTTGCTGGATCACATCATAATTTTTGCTTGCTCTCAGCATTCTTGAGCATTTTTTCTTCTTATACTAACAGATGATGATTTTTTTATCATTAGCTATGGGCTGTACTACATTAACGTCTCTAAATAGCACTGGTTTTATTTTTTACTAAAATGGAGTATATTGATTAATAAAGTACAACCACTACATATTGTAGTTCTATTTTACTCTTTTCCTTAAAGTGTATTTTATGTGATCAATCTTGGCAGAAAATAAACTCAGTGTTGCACCTGAAATGGACATCATAGAATATTGCCGAAAAGAATGGAGAGGAAATACACCAGTGGCAAAACGTATGAAAAAGGTATAACCTTTTTTTTTTATTTTTTTTTGGTGGAAGGTTTTTTGTAATTTTTCTCAAAATAGGCCCATAGCCTAGAAAATTTGTATGCCTGATGCTTTTATGTTGGCATTGGCTGATAAGTATGAGTTGTATGCTGTTCACAAAAGTTTAATCATTACATTTAACTATTAAAGGCAGTGACTGTCAGTTTTGAGAGAGACTTTGCTTATTAAGGTTTTATAGCTACAAAGGGTACTTCGGTGTTTTCATTACAGAATGTGTGAGTTAGTGGTATTGAGTCATTGAGATGCTTTTACCCACCAATTTTAACAAATGGCTGCCAATACTCTGATTACAGTTTTGAAAGCAACTGAAGCTGGGTGGATAACCTGAAATAACTTCACAAAAGAAAAGTTTCAGACTTTAGCCTAAGCCTTAAATTCTTTTGAAAAACTGCTGATTTTTTTTTTCATGTTCTCTTGCTTATATTAATATATTTTTGGTATGCAGCATCGCTTTCAGGTAGACCTAGAATAGCAAAATGTAAATAATGAATGTGTCTGCATTTTTGGAGTTTATGGTTTTGATTGATAAATAGTTTGCAAAATCATTAACAGAATCCTGAGTAGATATTTAAAAGAAAATAATGTATTTTATGAGAGAGACATTTTACTTCAGAATTCAAAGGTAGTCTCATGTCATGAGCTGATGAGAGTACAGACCAGACTTTGCTGTAGCTATAAATACCATTGCCTGTATTCTTCCTACTACATACAAAGTCTTTTAGGCACGTCTGCATACCTGTAGGCTCAATGTACTGTGATCAATCCAGCGGGGTTGATTTAAATCAACCACCAAGAGGTCTCCTGTTGACTCCACCAGTAGGCGGAGTTGGGAGAGCATCGGTTGCTAAGTTACTGCAGAGAAGGAATCATGGTAATAAGTACATTGACTTTAGCTATGGTATTCATCTCCTGCTGTAGTGTAGACTAGGCCTATAACTTAGGGTGGTCTTACATGAGCAATGGGGGACCTACTCTTCAGCTTAGTTTCAGTTCTTCAACCTTGTTTTCTCAATATGAACAAATAACAATCAGGTATTTTGAGAGGGGGAGAAATTTATCACAAGACTTCAAATGTGCACACTTCTTTCCTGGAGGGATAATAAGAGAATGAATCACACATGACAAATGTTGGCCATGTTGCTTAGTGCACTTCTAAAAGATGCTCATGCTATGGTGTTGGATAGAATAAAAATTTAGAACTGTTTTTGTTTTAAACTCTCTATTTTTAAAATCTAAACACTGGTTTTTTTGCAGTCCTAAACCGTTTTAAAAGCTATTTTTAAAATAGTAAAAATCCTTTTTGTTGACCTCAAGTACTTATTTAGTACTTTACAGGGGGCTATGAATGCCATTTAGGCCATAGTCTATTCTTACAACTTATTGCAATATATAAGAGCAGAATTTGACCCATTGAATGAAATTTGTAGTGTTGCTGGGCTTCTTGGTCAGGTTTGAACTGAAAACACAAAATGAGAGCAGAATTGATTGAAAGATATCATGCCTCAGGATAATTTCTCTTGTTGTGTTTAGTGAGTGCTTTGGTAGTATGCCCTCCAATTGTGTGACTAGCAATATTGGCTCAGGAAAAGAAAACAAGAACATTCTTTTGGTCATTTAAAATGATTTCTCTCTTCAGCATATTCCAAAACAGACTCTGTGTTACTGGAGCAGAAAAAAAAGTCATGAAGCTTTAAATAAAAAAAGTCTGTTTTTAGGTGTGGTAGTCAAGACACAGCTCTATGGAAATTTTGCTTAGTAATTGCTGAACTAAAGCAAGATAGTTTTCCAAGGATGTCAGAAACAGGGTGTCAAAACACTGTCCGCAGCATGTACTGAAGGATTGTATGCTATGTATGTATCTGCTCATTTCAACAGAAATAAAAGGTCGGCTTAGAGTGGGAGTGGGCAATAATTTTAGATTGGGGGCCACTTCAGAAATTTTGGAAGTGGCCCCAGACTGCCCTGGAAAGAGCAGGGCCTCAAGCAGAGGGAGTGGGGCCAGGACACTGATTTGCCTGGGGGTGTGGGAAGCAGCGAAGTCTCCTCCCTTCCCCCCAAGAGAATCGCCAGCTGTTCTGAGCAACTGGCTGTTCCCTCTAGGTGCCCGAGCCTCTGGTAGCGGGAGAAGACCTTGCATGCTCCCCTCACCCTTGGGTCAATCAGGGCTTGGGGGCAGAGGGAGCATGGGAAGTCTCTCACTCTCTGCCCCTACCCTGCAAGGGGGCGCTGCTCTTAGAGTCAACCCTGGAAGTTGACTCTAAGCGCTGTGTGTCCCTGGTAGGGGAGACTTCACACACTTCCCAGTCCCTGGTTGGCCTGGTAGCAGGGGAGAGGTAGGACATCCGCAGGCTGGATGAACCCGGTTGAGCAGGCTGGATTCAGCCTATGGAGGCCCTTTTGCCCACCCCTGGCATAGGGCCATTCAAGGTTTTTCTCATCGGTCTGTGTATAATTTTAAAGCATCCATCGTTCTAGTTCTCAGCACGGTCATGCAGAGTATCTCCTGCTAGTGGGACAGCCATCTCCATCCTATTTTTGGCTTATGTTGTTGTAGTTTTCTGTCTTGGCAAGAACAGTATTAGATTCTGTTCACCTTTTTTTGTAATTTTTCCTTTGCCCTCCAAAACCAAAAAATGTTATGCTTTGAGGGCAGGGAGGAGAAATCTGACAAAGTGGTGTTAGGCAAAGTAAAAGGTAGCAGAGCAAATGGTATGATTTAAAAAATGAGGGGGGAAATTAAGATACTGTATTGACTTGCTATCATTCATTAGCTCTCAATTTTTGAATGATTTATTTGAAGAAGAATCTACTTTTTAACGTGCAAAATTAACAGTTTTGTTAATTTTAATGTTGTAACACTGGAGTCCTCTATATTTACACAGAAATGTGCCTCTGGCAATGTCAATGCCTGTGTCTACATGCTTATTTGCCAGTGAGCTTCAACTCTGCATTGGTGAGGACTCCTGCAGGTTGTAAGTAACTGGTTCAGAATCGTTCTATGCATTTTAATTAACGTGTCGATTCTGATGCTGATATTTCATAAGGTTCAAATAGGTTAAATTTTCAAAAGTGCCCAAGACTCGGGAGCACAGATCCCACGTGAAAGTCTGTGACTTGTGCTCCTTAAGTCATTTAAGCAGTTCCCCGAACATTCTAATAAACTCCTACTTTTAATTATGGGCATGATTTCTTTTGCATAGCTTCTATTCCTATTTGAGTTCTCAAAGGCATTTGAATTTTTTGTAGAATACTAGGTCAAGTGCTATTGATGGTTAAATGGATCTGAAATTTGGTCATTTAATTTGAGCAATTATGTCAGGACTAATAAATGAGAGATTGATCCACAGTTACTGCAATTTATTTTCTATTCTTTTACAGGGCTATGAAGCAGTTTCTCAGAAATTTACCTCTATAAGGAGAGTGAGAGGTGATAACTATTGTGCTCTCAGAGCAACATTGTTCCAGGCACTGAGCCAAGCTTCTGAACTTCCTCACTGGCTTAAGAGTGAGGACTTAATATTGGTATGTTTCAAACTTACATCTCCTGTTAGGGAGAAAATGTTAGTTCTTTCTTTATTGGGCACTTTTATGGCCTTATTTCTGTACTGCATGAGCAGCACAAAGCACTGATGAATCTATCGCCACCACGGTCTGGTGAAATTGGGATGTCATGGGTTCAGAGCGAACTGCACCGATATTTTTTTCTGTGGTCTTTTTCTAGGAGTGCTCAGGCAGGGCTCCAGTCTCCAGCATTCACATATCTCTGGGTAGAGACCCTTGTCCTAATTCCTTCTGGTGGTGATTTCATTTCATAAGGCTCCGCAGAAGCCTGCCATATGTGTGCTATCCCTAGCAAGCTAGCCTTCCTTCAAGGGCTTTGCTTTCTCTCCAAGGGCTATGAATACTCAATTACCAGAATTTATAAGTTACCATGCAGCTTTCTCAGCCTGCAAAAGCTTTGTACAGAATACATATAAAAGTTCCTGTGTGCTTATCAATAAACATACCAGAACATAAGCACATAAACATACTCTGTCTTATTGCCTGATAGGCCAACATCTGTCCAATCCATTACAAGAGAGTTGGTCCCTTGGGGTATGTCTACACTACTCTCCTAGTTCAAACTAGGAGGGTAATGTAGGCATACCGCACTTGCAAATGAAGCCCGGGACTTGAATTTCCCGGGCTTCATTTGCATAAGCCGGGTGCTGCCATTTTTAAATCCCGGCTCGTTCGAACCCCGTGCTGCGCGGCTACACGCGGCACGGACTAGGTAGTTCGGACAAGGCTTCCTAGTCTGAACTACCGTTACTCCTCGTGGATCAGACTCCTCATTTGCTGGATCAGAAGAAAGGCCCTCTGTCTTTTATACCTAAGTCATTTTCTTTTGAATCTCTGGAAAATTAAGTTGATCCAGTATTCGCAACACCTTCTAGAGATGTAGTCTCAGGCCAAGTCTACACTGGTGGAGAAAAATCAAAGCAAAATATGCAACTCCAACTACATGTATTGCATAGCTGGAGTCGACATGCTTTGTATTGATTTTTCTGGGGCTATTTAAATTTGGAATATTACTGTCTTCTAACTGTAGCGATCCTGACCCAAAAAGGAGTTATGGGGGAGCCACAAAGTTTTAGTGTGTGTGTGTGTGTGTTGGGGGGGGGGAGGGTATTGCAGTACTGCTACTCTTCCGCACTTGTGTGGTGGTGGCTCTGCCTTCAGAGTGGACAGCTAGACAGTGGTGGCTGATGGCTGGGAGCTCAGCTCTGAAAGCAGAGCTGCCATTAGCAGCAGCAGAGAAGAATGGCCTGGTACGTTATTGCTGGGCTTACTTATGCGCTGCTGCCTGTAGAGCTGGGCCTTCAGTTGGCAGCTGCAACTCTCTGGCCACCCAGCTCTAAAGACGGGAGTGCAGAAGCAGGATTGCCAGGGTGTATTATTGCTACCCTTATTTCTGTGCTGCTGTTGACCAAGTGCTACCCTCAGAAGGTCAACAGCCGCCACTCTCTGGCTGTTGAGCTTTGAAGGAAGAGCAAAAGTAAGGGTGACAGTGTCATGACCCCCTTAAAATATACTTGCAACAGAAACATAGGTCTCCTCTGTGAAATCTGTATAGTACAGGATAAAAGCACAACCCTCTCCCCAGAATTTCACTATCTGTGATGCATTTTTCATGAACATGCATTTTAGGGATGTAAAAGAGTAGTCAGTTAGTCTAGCCTTGGCTTATTATTGGGTAGTCAAGCTGACTACTTGCATTGCTCCTCCCCCTTTGCTGCCTCTATATCAGGCAGCAAGGGTGAGGGGAAGCAGGAGCAGGTGCTGGAGGAGCTGGCTTAAAAGCAGGTTCCCCCAGCACCGTCTCTGCAGTGTGTGGGTCTGGGGAGGCAGTGGTGCTGTGGCTCTGCCTTTTAAATGTAGTAAGAGCTGCCCAGCTCTTCCTATGTTTAAAAGGCAAAGTTGCAGCATGGGACCCGGCACCAGCCAGACCTACCCCTGCTGTGGCTCTACAACTTAAATGTAGTAGGAGCTGGGCTGCCTGTGCACCCAGCTGCTTCTACATTTATATTGCAGGGCCACAGCAACCCCTGTACTTTGTATTGAGTATATGATCAGTCATTTACTCACTACTTAACATCCTTAGTGCATTTGATAGGGTTCTACCTATGATGCTCTAATGTAAGTCTAGCCAAATTATTTGACAGTTGAATAGTGCTCGTTACTAAGCTATTGTGATGCATTCCAATTGCTTCATTAATGAGACAAATTGAAAGTACCCTTAGACTTCCTCAGTTGCCCATTTTATGGTTTGAATGTCACTTGCATCTTGTGTTTTTAATACAAGTGCATTCAGTATTACAAATAATAAATCAATATTTCATGTTACTTTTGTTCACTTATAGATGAATATTTTAATAGCAGAACTGTTTGTCATAGTCTCAGTTCCCTAATTCTGCACTACTTTTGAGACGACAAAGCTCTAATCCATTTACTTATTTAAATCCAGTTTTAAAACTTCCAAAGTGTGATAGCATTTCAGCAGACGTACTCTGGTACAGTTGTTTTGTAACTTCTGACAGCAATACTCTATGGATTATCGAAAAGGAAAATAAAATTTTGGGGATTCTTTGACTGATTTGTCTCATTATGTAGTGAATTATAGTTACTTTCAGTTGTCCATGCACACAGATATTTTTCCGTAGTTGTGTCTGTGGTCTGCCTCCCTTATCCTGGTACTCCGCACCAAGGGAATAGAAGAGTTTGCCAACAGCCACTAGCTTTTCTTGTGGGAGTGCAGAGACTGAGGAAACATAACAATTGTGTTATTTAATGATACTGGTGATATAGCTCCCCTAGTGCAGATAGTTATGCTGATGTCCAAAGGCATGTGTACCAGTGCACCTGTTCCCATACAGAAGCGGCGAGGAGTCCTGTGGCACCTTAGAGACTAACCGAAGTGTTGGAGCATAAGCTTTCGTGGGCAAAGACCCACCTCGTCAGATGCATGTGACGAAGTGGGTCTTTGCCCACGAAAACTTATGCTCCAACACTTCAGTTAGTCTATAAGGTGCCACAGGACTCCTCGCCACTTTTGCGTGTTTGTGTTTGTGTTGACTTGAGCTTTTTCTGTAAATAGCTTTTACAACTTTCATAGCTAGCTGTAGGAGTCTGTTCCTTGTGATGGAACACCCTAGCAGGGCAGAGAGCCATTTCAATATCCCACTGTGCTCTGAACTTCCAGCGGTTGCAGGAGAGTATGCCAAACATCCCCAGCTTTAAAAATCACTCTGAGACACAAGTCCTTTCTGGTCACACACAGTCACAAACCCTGTCTGCACCCCTTGGGGGAAGCACTTGTCCTGTCAAGGTATGGCATCTACAGATTGTTTCTAAGCAAAAAATAAGCAGCCCAGAGAGTTTCTGCTACCAAGCTTGCTCGTGGAGAAGGCCATGAAGGCAGAGCCTTGCTGTATGTCAGCCTGAGGTAAGGTAGGAACAGCTCCTCTTCTACCATCCTAGGAAGTTCCTAGATCTTAGGCTCCAAGAGACACTCGAGAGCAGAGCCAAGATAGGGAGGGGAGATGTAAGCATGCCCAAGAAAGCAAAGATTGGGAGGGGGGTTACTCATGCAAGCCTTTAAAAAGAAGCAGAAATTCCTTGTCTTACCAAGTCATCAGGAGCATCATACTTGTACTGGGATGACCTGGTATGAGAGAGGACTGGACTGGGACTTCTTCAAAGAGCAAAACTGCAGAACCCTGTGGTATTGGGATTATTCCTTTGAGGTTGTGGTTGTAGTTACAGCATCCTCTTCTTCTGTGACCTGAATTGTGGAGCTATCTCCACTGACTCCAGCATGTTTCTCTGCTCCAGAAGACCATCCGTTTCTTAGACTCAATCACCTCTCCTCAGTGCCTGGCCACAGGACTTCAGCTAGTACCAATATTGCTACAGCAGTGGTCCCCAACCTTTTGGGGCTGCCAGGCACCGAGGCGCGGGGGCCATGCATGCGTCGGGCACTCGTGGTGCAAGAATGGCTCGGGCTGGCCCTGGTCACTAGACGGGCGCTCATAAATGCCCCGGCGGGCGCTGTGTTGGGGACCACTGCACTACAGTCTCTGTCCCTGAGTAGAGATTGAGCCAGACTGTCCTTGGTACCAACAAGTAGAGGTCATCACTGCCTCTAGTACTCATGGCTTACCCTCAGGATCTGGGATCAGAATCCTTGGAGTTGGATGATAGCTGGAGGGAATCCTTGACATAATTAATCCCAGCCAGAACATCAGATGTCCTTAGGGCACCTCACTAGTCTTGTACAAAAGAATTTTCCTTCCACAGTTCCAGCAGAATGGCAAAGAGGAGCAACAGGAGCAGGAGGTATTTGTGCCGGTGAATATCGCTTCTCCCAAGGAGAAGGAAGTGATTCCAGCTTCCTTGCTGCACCCTGATGATCTTATGGCCTTTCTCAGCAAACAGAATTGCTTCAGTTACCTCTGGAAGATGTCCAGGAAGCACCACACAAACTACTGGTCATTTCGCATAGCTTGGGTCATAACAATACTATATTGCTATACTGATGAGGCGATCATCAAGACCACCAGTGCAAACACCCACCACAATCTCAGTGTGCTCCAAGTGAGCTGAAAAGAGACTTTCAATTTCTCAGAGGTTGGAATTCTGTCCTCCTCCTCCAGACTCATTCGTAGTATGTGGCTGCCAAGTGTAGTTACTGACAGAGACAGCTCCATGAGTGAAAGAGAAGCTTGGTCTCTTTGCTATAAAGGCATATTTCTCAGCCCCTCTGATGTTCCAAGTTCCAAACTGTCGAGCTCTGATGGCAAAGTATGATTTTGTCATCTGTTTCCTGTTGGGTGGGTTCACTGGTAAGTGCCTTAGGACACTAGAGACCGGTTTCAGGCGCTTGAGGAAGGAAGCTGCTAATAGATGGGCCCTTCAGGCTGCCCTAAATACAGTGATTATGATGGTGAGATAGCAATGAAACATCATGGCTGTCCTTGGAAATCTCTGAGGAGGCTGAACTGACAGTGGAAGATGCTCTGTTTGAGAGCATCACTCTTTTCAGAGCTAAGACTGATAGGGTTCTTTCAACAACTGGAGAAAGTTGAGTCCCATTGTGATGGCTGGGTATTTATGCATCTGGAGTCAAGAAGAACACACTAAATTGCATTTCAGATGACCAGCCCTGTCTTTTATCATCAGTGACCATACAAACTGCATAGATCGCATGGATACTGCTAGGGAAAAATCATTCGTCTTGGGTGAATACATAACTTGCACTAACTGAAGTGTACTGTGTTAGGGACAACACATCTTGAACTCAAGTGACTACAAGGTGAGTAAATCATACTCCTACGCTGTTGTGGAAAAATTTACATACTTAAGAAATAAGGATGTATGCACATGTGGCTGCTAACATCTTCTAAATTATCTCTTCCTTTTTCTTTCAAGGAAAATTTTAAACCAATACTGCCTTTCTTTGATCATATGTTAGCTGCTGCTAGAGATTGAATATATATTTCTTTGGATTATTACTTTTCTCAAGCTACTTGAAATTGACTTAGAACCAAGTTTTGAATATTATTTTGGCTCCGTGGTATTTGACAATTTTTGGACATAAGGGGTGTTTATGATAAGGTTTTTAAGAAACCCCTTAAGGGCTGGTAGAGCATGCTGACCAGAATAAAAAAGGATAAATAGAAGGCAAGAATTGATTACAGTAGTTTTACAATTTTCTAATTCTTTTTGCCTTCAAGAATATCACACACTATAAAATATCCATAATACGGGGGATCCTTTGGTCTGGTCTTACCCTTTTTTACGTGGCCTAAGTGGTCTCTTCATTGGTGGATGTTATGCCACTAGCAGAATCCTCATCCATATTCAGTCACGAAAAACACAGTTTTGGTGACAAAGCTTCCATCCCTATGAAAGATTTTCTTTTCCTCTCCCTTTATTGTTGACAAACATCCAGTGTAGACTCCATCATCTCCTCCCCTCCCCACTCTTTTATTGGCCTCCAGGAAATCTCCCACAATCCCCATACTGCTGCTCTGGTCAGTACAGGCAGTCCCCGACTTACGCGGATCCGACTTATGTCGGATCCGCACTTACGAACAGGGCTTTTCTCGCCCCGGAGCTCACAGGCGGCGGGTCGCCACCCGTGTCCTCCGGGGCGACAAAATCTTCTCCCAGACTCCCTGGTATGCTGGGGGGATCCAGCAAAGCCGCTGGACCCCCCCAGCAGACCAGGGACACCCGAGCAAAGCTGCCGCCTGGGCGGCTTTGCTCGTTTGCCCGGGAACCCCGCCCCCTGGGCGGCTTTGCTCCTGTCCCCCTGATCTGCTGGGGGGGTCCAGAAAAGCTGCTGGACCCCCCCACCAGACCAGGGACACCTGAGCAAAGCCGCCAGCGGCTTTGCCGGACCCCCCTCCCCCACCAGACCATCCCTCCGCCTGTGCGGCTTTGCTCGGGTCTCCCTGGTCTGCTGGGGGGGAGGGGGCGCAGCTAGTGTGCCCCCCCCCAGCAGACCAGGCTTTTGTTGTGGGACGCCTCGGGTAGAGCAGCTGGGGTGCTGCTGGGTTGGTCCTGTGGGAACCTACGGGGCAGCGCCCCAGCTGTTCTGTCCCAGGCTCCAGATTCAGCAGCTGTTGAAACTGATCAGGCTGATTCCAGGAAGCTGGGGGCAGAGCAACTCTGCCTCGGGCTTTCTGTAGTCAGCCCCTGATCAGTTTCAGTGGCAGCAGCTGAATCTGGAGCCAGTTCCGAGTTACATACAAATTCAACTTAAGAACAAACCTATAGTCCCTATCTTGTATGTAACCCGGGGACTGCCTGTAGTTTGAAATATGCCCTGCAGCCAGGTAAACAACCAGGAAGCTGGGGGCAGAGCAACTCTGCCTCGGGCTTTCTGTAGTCAGCCCCTGATCAGTTTCAGTGGCAGCAGCTGAATCTGGAGCCAGTTCCGAGTTACATACAAATTCAACTTAAGAACAAACCTATAGTCCCTATCTTGTATGTAACCCGGGGACTGCCTGTAGTTTGAAATATGCCCTGCAGCCAGGTAAACAACAATCCGTCCCTCTCTTGCAAGCCCTGGGAATTTTAAAGTCCATTTCTTGCTTCCTGGCTTCGTGTGGAGAGATCTCATGGCTGGCTATCACTCCAAGTACTCTCCAGCTTGGACCATCATGGAACTATTGCATATGATTATTATATGGAGAGAGGAGTCTGTTCAGTCCCAGCTTCAATTTGAGGCACAGGAATTGGAACACGTATGGGCACATTTCTCAAGGCTTTTGCAAAAAAGGCTATGATTGGGACATGCTGCAGTGAAGAGCAAAGTTAAAGGAGCTTTGGCAGGTATATCCTAAGGCAAAGAGGCAAACTGTCACTCTGGTGCTGCACTTAAGACCTGATGTTTCTTTCTGTAAAAAGTTGGATGCTATCCTTGGTGGTGAACCTACTTCCACCATCAAGAGCCCCATGGATACTTCAGAGGGCAGGGAGGCAGCAGAAAGGGGGCTTAACCTGGAGGGTGACATTATTGATGGAAAAGGTGGAGCTAGATGAGGATGTAGAGCTTTTGGCAGGGGTGCTCAGTGAGTCAGCCAGAAACTATTCTCCACATGAGATGTATCTAGAGCAGGGCAGAAGCAGCAAGCATGCATTAGTTGTACCTTGGTTTCCCTGCTTAACTTCAGCAGTGAGATGCCTGCTAGAATTAAACCCACTTGTGGAAAAGCGTGGGATACATTTAGAATGACTTCCTTGCAAGCTGCACTGCAAGCTCTGCAAAAACTATTTCCTTTTGTTGAGATGCTCGCCCTACCCAATGTTCCCTCTAATTTTTTCCTTCTAGATGGGGATTTTTTCCATCCAGGTGCAGAATACATTACATGTGCACCAAGGCATGTGCAGTGGCATGCCACCAGGAGAAACAAGCCTAGCTGTTCATGCTCTGCTCTGCTAATCAGCTGGGTGGCATTGGAATCTCTGCTTAGCAGCTGCACAAGCTTACAGAGTATACTGCTCCTTCCCCTCAGTCCTATAGAGTCACCTCCAGCATATCTTCCACCTGCCAAAGGCACATTTGACAGCCATGAAGTATCTTCTCAGACTGTTCTTATAATGCTCCCTACTGCTGTCCAGTGCCCTATGTAAAGTTTCATGAGCCAGGGCTGTATGGAGTAAGCTGCGTCTGCCAGAATTACTATGTGCATTTTCATATTCCCCCACTGTAATCTTGTACCCTGGAAAAAGTCTCCGCTCCCAGCTTTCCGTATAGGCCATTGTTTCTGAAGCTATGTGCATCATGCACCTTTCCAGACCATCCCTCATTGATGTCTGTGAAACGCCCATACAAGTACCCGAAACACCATGGAGCAGTACCCCTTCCTGTTGATATGCTTTGTTGCAGGTGGTCTGGTCCTAAAATTGGGATGTGTGCGCTATCTATTGCCTCACCACCTCTTGGGACACCTATCTCTAAAGCCATCCACCATTTCATGCACATTTCCCAGATTCATGATCCTCCACTGCAGGATATGATTTATTGCCCTGTGCACTTGCAGTAATACAGTCCCAATGGTAGACTTCCCCACTCCAAATAGATTTGCAGCTGACTGACAGCAATCAGAAGTTGCCAGCTTCCAGACAGCAGTTGCCACATGCTTTTCTATCAAGAGGCAAAGCCTGGCAGTTTGAAAAATGGGGTGGAAGGAAAGCAGAAATCCCTGGAGGGCTTGGGATCATGCAAAATATCCTGTCAGGCACTGCCTTGTTTCCAAGACTTGTTGCCCTCCGCTCCACCTTCCCACAATACCTAATGCATACACACAGGCATTGCTCATGCTGTCTGTGATGTAGACAATGTGGACATGATCTTGCAACAGTGGAAGCAAGAGTGAACACCCTTTGGTGATTTTGCTTTTGTGGATTTTTTTAGTGTCAATCTTATTTTTTTTTTTTCTCCACAACTTTGTAGTGTAGACAAGTCCTTAATTAAACTTGTGCCATTGGAAAGAATATGTGGCTTGTTCATGGCCAGGTAATGATCTTATTTTCCACTTGCTGCTTTAATTCCAGCTCTTATCCAGTAAGCGATGCAGTGAGCCCATTCTTTTAAAAAAGTGGTGCTGTAGACTTTTGTACACAAGTCTTTCTGAAGAATATGAGGGTCCTGTTGTTAGCAGCAATATCTTCAGTAATATAATCACAACTTGACTATTTTATTTTCAGGATTTCACTTATGTTGCTTTCTCAACTTTGTAGCTTCCAGAAAAGCTGCTGAGCAAATATGACTGGATCAAACAGTGGCAACTCAGACAGAAACTGGGCAGGAAGATGGGAGAACTAAGTGATGAAATTAAAGACTACCTTATACTTCTAAAGAAGAAGGTTGGATAACTTATATGTTTACTTTCCTTAGTGAGTTATAAATCTGTATGTTTGTTTAGCTCTTCACCAAGTCAACTTACCCTTTCTAGAATAATAATTTTAATTTTAATTACTTAAATTAGTAGATTTATAACACTAATTAAAGGCAATAGAAAATGGAATGTAGAATGTTAAACCTTAGAATTCATCCTTTGTGCTTTGAGGCACAGTACTACTTTGCCTAAGGATACCAAAAAGTAGGAAGACTTAACCTGCTCCTGGACCAGTTTTGTCAAAATATTCCTGCATACTATTAGGGAACTGATAAAACTTGTATGTCAGGATGAACATAATGTACACACATTGAAGGCGGCAGCTTGAGACAATGTGGGTTGTATTACTGCAGCCTAGTGAGCGTTGCACTAACTTAGAGCCACAGCTTGTATTGTACAAAACCACTAGGTCAGGTAGCACTCCTGCTAGGGTGACTCAGCCTTTCACTCTACTTTGGTAGTTAATTGTATTCCAAGTAGGAGAGAACTCATTGGGAGAAGAGCTGTGTGCTTTCTCATGAGACCTTGCAGTTTAAAGACCTTTCTAGTTTTCATTGGCATTAAAAAGCCCGTGTTTCTAAGGAGTTGGTTTTGTCCTGGCACCCTACTACAGTATTTTCCATCTACCCTCTCACTGCTGCTTTTGTGCCCTTCACTGCCATTCCACCATAACTTCACCTTGCCTGTTGTACTTGATCCCAGGATTGAAGGGATGTCCTACATTTTATGTAGTACAAGGTAAAGTGTGTTTAGAAGCCTTAAGGGTGAAAAATATAAATGTAAGATACCAGAAGGGTGTGATGAACTACACTTGATCCCTAGTTGGCATTTTAAATTAATTTTCCTGTTTTTCCTAATTTGTGGGAACTTTATCTTTTTCCTTCTTGGATTAGCTGATGCATAGACTGCTAAACCTGATAATTTTATAAGTATAGGTTCACTTTCACTATTTTGTTTCCTGTTTACCATACATCCTTAGTTAAAGCAGAGTTTTGTCCCCTCTTGGACAGATGCTCTTACCACCTGAGGTAGTGGGGTGATGGAAGGAGTTTCTTCATACTAAAATGATCCTTTACTTATATTAGCATGTTTATGTATGTACATATAGCCATTATAGCATCGATCATTTATCTAACCTTTCCCGATTGCTGTACTCTTTATAGATTAGCATTTGATTTGTTTACAGTAGAGAATCTGCATAGGAGAATGTTTTGATATATTCTTTGTGCATATGTTTAAATTTTTATTTTAAACATTTTAAATTTACTACTTCAAATGCTAATGTTTGATTATGTATATTTATACAGTTCCTGTGAGAATATTAGCAAAACAACTACAGGCCAAGGGGTATTTTGAAATGCAGCGAGAATATGAAAACTATAGGTTTTATGTTATAGCCAATGAAAAGGTTACTTGTCTCTCTCCTATCAGAATCAATCTCTTCAGACCTTTATTTTTCTTTCCATTGATCATGGCATCATCAGATACTTGCTTCTATGGGGAGGAAAAAACCCCAGTTACTACAGCTATGGAAGGATTTAAAATAAATTGAATTAAAAATGGGCATGAGAGATACATTGGACTTATAAAAGGATCTGTAGCTATGAGTAGCTATGCTGAAAATTTGGTAATTTACATTTCTGTTTGCAGTTATGAATATACTACCACTTATGTTGATAATCCTATGCTTGCTTTTATAGTGGGAGACTATGAGCGAAATAAAAAGCCTTGTAGAGAGGCAAGCAGCTTGTGATGAATTGTTTACAAATGAAGAGGAGGAGTACAGTCTCTATGAAGCTGTAAAATTTTTGATGCTGAACACAGCCATTGAATTATATGATGAAGATAAAAAAGGAAAGAAAGTACCTGTGTTCTCATGGCTGCTGTTTGCCCGGGATACATCCAGCAACCCCAGTCAGCTAATGAATAATCACTTAAATCAAATAGGTCACACTGGAGGTCTTGAGCAGGTAAGAAGAGTTATGTATACATTCTAGTATATGTGGCAGTTTTCTTGTGTCTTAGGGCTTTCTTGCTGTGGTAGGAGCAGAACTAACTAGAGCATGAAAATATTGTATGAAATGCTTTGAGAAATCAACCAAGCTGCAGCACTTTAAGTTTGTGGTTTGATGCAGGTAAAGATAACTGCTCAGTAAATGGAATAATAGCAGTATTTGTTAATGGTTCAGCTTCTGTGCTCATAAATGTAAACTCCTGGCTTCTGGGGCATATAACACTTGGATAATTTTGCTTATACTTTTATGTACGCAGGATTTTTAGTGAAGTAAATGAAGAATTAGATGAATGTCTTGCATGATTCTTATTATACCAGACAGGCCACTAGTTTAATTATTTTAAATGGTAATTTAAATGTCAAAAGATAAAAGTATACCTGAAAATATAGCTTCGAATTAATTACATAAGACAAACGTATGAAACAGAAATGTATAATAAATCCTGTGTGTGTGTGTGTGTGTGTGAGATATTTTTACTGATCTTTATTACTTGAAAAATGATGTAATAAGTTCTTGAGAAATTGCTGCTATGTCAGTGAACTGTGACTTAATGTGTATGTTACAATAACTGGTTACTTAGGATGTTGGAGTGAAAGGTAGTACAAATATTTTTTAAAAATTAGGGATCCTGACCTCAAAAGACAGGATTCTTCAAATCAGTGGAACTGCCCTCATAAGTGTAGTTGCGGGATAAAAGTCCTAAGTGCAGTGCTCAAATGTGTTATCTGTAATAACTAAGGGCTGGGTTTTGATCCCATTTAAGTTTTGTACTAAACTTTAATTGACCTGTATGGGAAGAATGCTATGCTACCACTTGCACAGCTGACTTAGAGGTGGAACTATCAAACCTACTTTTAATAAGTTGACTTATCTTGAGGTCTGGCTTTGTCACCCTTGCTTACATTGAGTTGTACTTGACTCTGATTTCAATCGGATTACTGTCAATGTGGCTGTGACTGTTAGAACTGGATATGACTGGTTCTATAGGAGTGCAGGTGGTGTGGAACGGGGCATTTCTTCCTCTACTACCTCTTATTCATGCAGACAACAGGCCTAATATGCTGAGCCTGAGGTTAATGCTTCTGACAGTGCTAGTCTGAAATGGGTTGGTGACAATGGCCCTAAACTGAATGCATACACGAATTTACCAACAACTGCTCCAACTGGCAGAATTGGCTGGGTGTAAATGTGAGTGGGTGCCCACAGAAGCTTCAAGAATGGTGGTGGTACAATAGTAATGCTCCTCCCAGCATTCCCTGGAGAAGTACAATACCTTACAGAGCGTTTCTTGAACAAAGTACTGCTGTCATTGGGGCTGAAGAGCTATGCCTTGCAACATAGTAGAATCCTGTTAAAGTTATTTTCCCCCCATTTCACTTTGTTGAGGGACATTAAACTATCTAAAAAATTGGGACTGAATGCGAAGGCATTTTTTTAATTTTCTATTTCGTTTATAATGAGAATGTTACTGCTTTAACATGTACAGTGCCAGAAACTAATGTCCTGAAATAATCAACGCATTCAGCACAGGCAGCATCAGGTTTCCCCTTGCTCTCTTACAGTTCTCTTGCACGAGGAAACACTGAACTTCATTCTCTGTTTTAAGGGTTCTCTAATACAGAATTACACTCCTGGAAAAACTTAAAACAGTGAATGGTCCTGCAGCACCTTAGAGACTAACAGAAAATGAAGATGGTATCATGAACTTTCATGGGCATAACTGAAGAAGTGGGTTGTGCCCATGAAAGCTCATGATACCATCTACATGTTTTGCTTGGTTGCTAAGCTTCTGCAGGACCATTTATTGTTGTTAAGTTTTTTCAGTTACATACTAACACAGCTACTCCTCTGAGACTCCTGAAAAATACAGTACTATTGTGCATTACAGTCTAACTGATTTTTTTTTCCAACCTAGGTGGAAATGTTTCTTCTTGCATATACTCTCCAGTATTCCATAAGAGTGTATCGACTGTATAAATACAGCACTGATGAATTCATCACACTTTATCCCAATGATCCAGAGGAGGACTGGCCTGTGGTGACGCTTATAACAGAAGATGACAGACATTATAATATTCCAGTCAGAATGTGTGAAGAGACTAGCTTGTAAACAAGATATTTTGGCAGACTGATCAATTTGATACCCAAGTCTGATCTGGATGTTAAATTTCCAACACTATTTTGAAATAAAGTCATGATGAGATTTATGTGATAAAACCTATTGGACCTTGAGTTACAAAGGTTTGAACTGAAATGCCACATTGGATCTCTGTAGCAGGCTTATTTTGGGCTGGCAGGCCAAGTTGGTCTTGTGGGTAGATCATGGGCGTGGGTGGATCATGGGCATGGTGGCTGAGCTGGTCTGTTTTTTCTTTGTGCTCCATATTGGGGGAGGGGAGAAGGTATGGAAACTTAGGCTCTCCCTCTCCATCAGGTCCCGGCCCAAGGGGAGAGGAGCATCTCTTGGTTATACTCTAGACCAGCTTCCCCACGCCACTGCTCACCTCCCAGTTCTCCCTTTGGTTGGAGAATGCTAGCAGCTTGCTTGGCCTCCTCCAGCAGAGAGTTCCCAGTTAGTCTCAGCAGTTCAAATAGTCAGAGCATGCTCAGTGTCCAGTTACTCTCCCTTGTCAGGGAGCAGAGAAGGGAATAGGATCATGCCTGCAGCCTCCCAGGTATGTCTTACCCACATTACAGACCCTTCTGTGGATTGTTCAATACCAGAAATTGCGATCTGGCTTCCTTTACACAGACAGCCCCTCTTTTCCCGCTTAATTATTGGAGTTGCCATTTAAGCTGGAGAGCGTGCTCTGCGGTTGCTATACTGCTCCATTACTCCCGTAGCCTTTGTGTGCTGTCTGTAAACCCCATCACAACCTCCCTTTTAAAGAACAACTGATTAAGAAAATAAAGTTGGTTTCTTTTGTGTAAATGAATTTTCATGGTGCTCTCTGGAACAAATTTCCTAAATGGATTATGCATAATAAAAGAATATAAAACTTGTTACTTAGGAAGCAGGTACAATGGAAATAATTTTTTTTCTAAAAGGGCATGGCAGAGAGACTTGGTAATTGGGGTTACAGAGTAGTTTTCCTGTAAGTCCACTGTTTGGATCCTACTCAGCTCTGTATTGTCTCAAAGTCATTAACATGTGGTGGCATTTTGGTAATGTATGAAATAAACTAGTGTCAGTCCTGTTCCTGATGAAATATGTCCCTATCACAAAGCAGTTCTCATAATTGGCATATTTATGGGAAGTCTTGGTAGATTAAAGATTTGAATGGCTCTGGAGAGTTCACTAGAAACCCTGGCTATGCTTGAGCCAGTGGGCATGCACTGTGAATCTAACCCTACTGTTGCTTCTGTGGCTGGGTGGGGGGGTGGGGGGGGTTTTTTTTTTTTTTTTGGGGGGGAGAGGGGAGAGCAGAGCTCTGCATCGGGGGGGGGCCAGCCATTCTAACAAGTGTTAGAAAATAGTGTAACTATCACCACACTGTGGGATACTGCTGCATTAATCTTCCAGGTCCTTTTTTTTAATCATAGTAATGAATTGGTTTAAAGCTGAAATATGGGATGCAAATGATCAGAATGGGAGTTAGTGGTAGATGAGAATCTGTCCCCTTCTAGGAAGCAGTTTTGACTCTGTAGGCTGATTTTATTTAAAGGTCTATTAAAAACCCAGCAATATAGAAAATTCAGTTGCGCTGTTCCATTTAAATGATAAGTTTTAACTAATTTTGCATAAACAATTGCTTTTTAAAAACAGCCTAAGTCAGTTTATGTGAGTGTTAAGTTTTTCATTTTAAATTGTGAGGCTGATGTCTGCTGTTAGTCCTTCCTGATATTCACCAGCATAAAGGAAGGCAAAATCTGGTGCCCACTTGACAGGAATATGGGATCATACAGTTGAAGTGTTCTTTAAAATCTAGTACTTAAGGGCTTGAGTGTAATATGACTTATGGTATGTACAGACCACACTTAGATATCTCACACAAACTCTCTCAATCGGTGGTGGTGGCCAGCAGGTTACATCCAGCTCATCAGGGTAATCTGATTGTGGAGCTGTGATCTGTTTTGCTGATATCCATCCACAGGGACTGTAGCCAGGCAATGTCACCAGAATCAGATGACTTCAGTGGTCTGCAATTTGCCCACTGTTGCTCTAAATCAGTGTCCCCTACTACTACACAGTGAGAAGAAACAATTTGTCTGCTCACTTATTGGCCTCTCCAGAAGTGTGGGTGGGATACTTCACTGGAGATGTGACATTTAACTCAGAGGACAATAATTTGGTACAAATAGTTTGAGGCTCTCACTGACTTCAGATTAGGTATATTCATCTGGCAAATGCACACCCTTAGCTGGAAAGCAATTGAAAGTGTCTGAATTAACATCTCCAACAAAGAGTATATTTTGCTTATTTGGTACAAACAGGGAGATCGTTGTTACATTCTTGGATGTCAGACTAAGAAATTAAAGGAATCTGAATCATACAGAAATTTTGAACTTTACTCAAAGTAAAATTAGAATATGAAAGCTGTTTGACAATCTTGGAGCACAAATCCAAAAAAGAGGAAAGCATTGATCATTTCTTTAACAATGCAAAAACATATTTCTATGTTAAATACATAAACAGCACTCTATTTTAATGCAATATATACTTTATGCTGACTTTAACAGTCACTTAAAGATCAAAGGCTGTACAAACATTTTTATCTTGATTTTTTTTAAAATAACCCTACAGATTTGAAGCAAAACAAAATCTGGATATTAAACAAAACTGACAACTACAGCATATGTACAGATTATATAAGGGTTTTCTTTTTGTTAAATCACCTGGATTTCTACAAATGTGACAATGAGGTAACTTTTTCAGTTTCTAGGATCCCTGTACTATCCTTTCAAATAGTGCTCTGACTTGACACCTAAAGTCTTTGGAAAATTGACTTGTTTAAACAATACAAGCTATGTGTACTCTGGCTTCTTGTGCGAGAACAGCTGTTCTCACACAAAAACTTGCTGGGTGGCTACACTGCATGCATGTGTTTGCAAGTAAGTCTAGTGTCAGAAAACAGGGCTTCCTCTGGAAGAGTTCTTCTTCTCCCCATGAGGAATAAGCCCTCTTGCATAACAGGGCAGTGTAGACAGGCAACATGAATTTTTGAACAAGAAACCCCTATGGCTAAAATGGCCGTCAGAACTTTCTTGCACAAGAGAGCATCCACACTGCCATAGATGGTCTTGTGCAAAAGCACATGCTAGTATAGACATGCTCTTGTGGAAGCCTTTTTGCACAGGAACTCTTCTGCAAACAGTTCTTGTGCAAGAAGCTGCCAACGTAGACATAGCCTAAGGGTTGCCATTCATTAAAAGTCTTTGAACTTGGACTGAAAAGTATCTGGCCCTGAAAGACTTCTAGTGGTGCACATCTGAAATGAAATTATGAAATACACATCTGCCTGGTGTTAGTGTTTAGCTTTCTTTGAATCATGCAGAAATGTAAAAATTAAGCTCTTTTCCCTAGAAGTATGTTAAGTGCATAGAACTGGGTCATATTCATAGTGTAGCATCCCTTAAAGCAGTGGACTCCAACCTTTTTAAGCACAAGCTCACTCTTTGAATTTGTAACTCGAGGATCGCGCGCAAACCCAAGTACCCCTGTCCCACCCCTTCTCTGAGGCCCTGCCCCCCTTATTCTGTGAAGGTGGGATACACAGGAGAGGGACAGAGTGACATCAGCCCCCCCCCAGCTGCCTTCTCCCCCACCCTGCATAGCAAGAAGGCTCCCAGAGAGCAGCTCCGAGGCACTGGGCTGGAGCAGCAGGGCCATGGGGGGG